CCCCCTTTTCTCCTTCTTTTCTCAAAAGGGTAAAGAGGGGAAAGAAGAGAAAATAACCCTTATGGGTGAAACAAAAGCAGTTTTAATATAAGCAAAGCGAAGCAAAAGTCCGTGCGCGGAAGCAAAAGCAAACACTTAGTCTCTACTTCCCATGGACAGGCAATGTTGGGCCTTCTCAGGAAGCAGGGCTCCAATACGCGTAGTGGTTGCCTCGGAGGACCAAGGGTGACCCCACCCCCTTCCTCCTTTCTCCCAGACGTCATATGGTCTGGAATATCCCTTTGGTAGGTTTGGGTCAGCTGCCCTGGCTGTGTCCCCTCCCAGGATCTTGCCCACCCTGTTCCACTGGGGGAAATATCAGAAAGAGCCTTGGTGCTGTGTAAGCACTGCTCAGCAGTAGCCACAACACCAGAGTGCTATCAACACCCTGCCAGCTCCCAGCATAAAACACAGCACCGTGAGGGCTGCTGTAGGGGAAAACCAATTCCAGTTCAGCCAGACCCAGTACACTGTTTAAGATCCATACATACCTACGTAGTAGCTTCCCCTTGTTTATTTTCTAACAATTTATTTTAAAATACTATGTCACATAATCCTTGATGTGTGTTGTCACCCGGTGCCTCTCCCTAAGAATCCTGGAGGGAAGCTTCTGTCCTGGTTTAGGCCCAGAGGGTAACAAAGCCCGATGCAGCCCTTCACTTGCTCCTTCCCCCCCAGTGCTGGGAAGGAGAAAAATTTCAACAAAAAGGCTCAGGAATGGAGATGAGGACAGGGAGGGGTTTCCTCACCCATTAAACCAGGCAAAAACCCAGACTCTTTTGGGGAAGGAAAACAAGAACATCCCTTTAATTCAAGCACGAACAAAACCGGAAAGAGTGGGACGGAGAGAAGCATTAAAACCCACCTCCCCCCACCCCTCCCTTCTCCCCGGGCTCAGTTTTGTTTCCACTCTCTCCACCTTGTCCCCCAGCAGCGCAGGGGCAGGGGATGGGGGGTGAAGTCAGTCCTGCCTCTTCTTCCTGCGAGATGGGGGGAAGCACTCTGCATTCCCCCCCTGCTCCCTGGGACATCCCTCTCAAGGGGAGTCCCCCCCTCCCCACAGGATGATTATTCTTGAGAGGCCCCAGTGTGGGTCACCCCCACATGTCGCTCCTCTGTTCTGCCAGTTGATGGGGTCAGCAGAAAGGACACAGACACCAGTTAAAAAGATCAGCTTTGCTTCACTTTAGTTGAAAGCAGCAGAGAGAATAAGCAAGGTGATGCCCCTGACCATTCTGACCTAAAGTTAGCTCTAGTGATTAGAAAAGACACATCACCAGCTGCCCTCCTGCTTTACTGTCACCCGGATCTGTGCTTCAGCTGGGGAGCCCTGTCCCAGCACAGGGTCGGAGAATCCCTCCCGGCAATGGGGAAATCCTATGCAACCAGTCCCCTCTTAGGGGAGGTCTCTGTCTATGTCCTGCTTTTATACAGTTTCACAAACAAGTCATATAAAAAAAATAAAGGGCATGGAAACATCTGGTAGATCGGCTTCACTCAGGCGCATCCCAGATCTGTCCAGGATCCGGGGTGTGCCCAGGGATTTGCTGTCTGCTAGGAAACAGCCGGCTTAGCGTCCACAAATAGATATTCTTTATCTAGTTTTCAGAGGAAATATGGTCATATTTGATGCTGATAGGATGCTGCTCGGGAAGTTCACTCAGAGTCAGCTCTGGTTTGAGGCTTGTGGTTCAGGCTTTGGTGGTTTTCAATCAATTGATCGATCCCTGGTCGTTGCTAGAGCTCTGCTTTCCAAAAACCTCCAGCACGTCAAGTATTTTGAGATGATGATCCAGCCAAAAACCACCCTTGATCTTTTTCTGGTATTTCTCTCACTGAAAAAAGCCCAGTATTAAGGCAAAACCCTGCCTGCCCCCCCCTGCCCCGTGACACCATTTTGTGATGACTTTCTCAAGGCTCACTTCCTGTGCCTGAAAATGCTGCTGTGATTTCTCCTCGGGGACTTGGTTTCGAAGCTCTTTTCTCTCCCTGTGGCTTCAGGGCAGGAACCTGTTCCAGACCTTGGTCATGTTCCTGTACGTCTTTGAGACCAAAGAATGCGGGATGCTGGCGTGAGTAGTACCAGGGCTGAGGGGAACGTCCTCTGCAAAGCTGCTTGTCAAGCTGAACCCGCTCCAGCGGGGGGACAGGAACAGGGCGAGAACCACCTTCACATCTGGAACGGCCGCAGCTTTTTCATCCCGTGGGGTAAATCTGACTGGGTGGGAGCGATCAGCAACATACAGATCCCGCTTCGTCCTGGGAGAGCTGTGCTTGAGTCACAGCCGGGCACGACGCCTGCATGGTAAAGGGCCCCTGGAGAGTTTCCATCTCCCCTTTCCCCCCGGCACTCTGGTACCCTGCGATGTCCCCCGGTGATGTTCATTTCTGCAGGTGTGTCTATCTGGGCTTGTCAGGAGTCGACACGCTGTGGATCTTTGGGGAGGAACATCCCCCACAGGACGCAGCTGTGAGGAGCGACGCCGAAAGGAGCCGAGCAGCGTCGTTGTGTCGCTGACTGCCCCAGGCTGGCTGCCAAAAGGCATAATTTCAGCTGCATTTTGGGGTGTTTGGGTTTGGGGCATTTTCTGGTTGCGAAGGATTAAACCAGGGGGTTTTTTTATACAGGATTGTTGGTGTAATCAGGTCTCCTGAGCCCACGAGATGTGCTGGGGCTTGTGCTGCAGGGGGGAAGGAAAGAGAAAACCAGGCTGGACTTGCTGGTTTGGGAAAGATTTTCAATTTCTGTATTTCTATTTTTTGGTCGTTTTTTCTTTTTGTGGGGTTTTTTAATTGGGGTATGTGTGTGTGTGTTATGTTTTGGACTTGTTTTTTGTTTTTATTTTTGTTCTTGTGGTGGATTTATTTTTGGGTGTTGCTGGCTTAGAGAATTTGTGGGGTTTTGGGGTATTTTTAGATTTTTGGTGGGTTTGGGGTTTGGTGGGTTTTGGTGGGTTTTGGTTTTTTGGTAGTTTTGGGATTTTTTTGTATTTTGGGGGGTTTGGTGGGTTTGGTGTTCTTTGGGGGTTTTGGTGGGTTTGAGGGTATTTTGGTGTCAGGGATTTTTGTATTTTTTTGAGGTTTGGGTTGTTTTTTGCAGGGGGTTTAGCGGTTTTGGTGTTTGGCTTTTTGTGGTTTTGATAGTCTTTGTTGGTATTTGTTGTTGGGGGGGGTGGTTTTAGGTTTTTGGGTTTAGAGTTTGGGGTTTATTGTATTTTTCATGGTTTTGGTGATTTTGGGGTTTTGGTGGTTTTGAGTTTTTTGTGTTTTCTTTTTTGGTGTTTTTTTGGGGTTTGGAGTCTTTTGCCATTTGGGATTTTTTTGCTGGTTTGGGGTTTTTGGTAGTTTTGGGGTTTTGGTGGGTTTTGGATTTGGGGGGTTGGGTTTTTCTTGGCTTGGGGGTTTTTACTTTATTTTTGGCTTTTTTTATTATTATTATTATTATTATTATTTTGTTATTGTTTATTGCTATTCCCCCAAGCCCCCACTGGCAGCCGTGCAAGCTCTTCCCTGGCAGGTGCCTCCAGCCCATCCCCGGCTCTGCCCTTCTGCTGCCTGCCCAGGGAGGAGGTCACTGCTTGTTTTGGGCTCAGAACCACAGGTTTTGGGAGCCAGACGGACTGACCCGCGGCTGCAGCCCCTCAGGCTCTAGAAACCTGCACACTTTTGGGGCGAAAAAACCCACTTGTGTTTGTTTCAGAGAAGAATTGTTCAGTATTTGCTAAAAAAAGTTTTTATAGATGGGGGAGGAGAATCTCTTGGAAATTCTGGCAAATGGGGACACTGGAAACGTAGAGTTTTAGTAGGTTTTTTTCAAAGAGGAATAAAAATCCATAAGCCCCCGATGCTGAAGGTCTCTGTGAGTCATAAAAGGCCAAAACCCCTTTGTCCATAAAAGTTGTGAGACCTGCAGCAGGGGCAGGGAACCCCCCATGTTTTGGTGTGAGAAAATCTATTTTTGTGCTGTATTTTCTCTCTGCAGGGCAGGGGAGATGCTGGTTTTTAGTGTGAATGGGCTGTTCCTGGTGCCTCTTGTCCCCCAGCAGCCGCCAGGTTTTTCCTTATTAAAGGAGCTGTTTGGGCAAACGCTGGTTTGGGTTTTTCTGGGGCCTCAGCACCGCTCAGTCCATTGCCGAACCCAGGGGGGACTTGGAAGAACCGGGTTTAGCCGGGACAGACCCACCGACTGATGGATGGACAGATGGACAGACACCACTATGGCCAGCGAGGGGGAGCCTGGCCCCCTCTTTCCCCTCCAGCGCCACAGACACTGCACAGAGGATGCACCCGGTGAGTGGAGTGGGGGCACCTGGGGCAGTGTCCCCCTTCCCAACAATTATACCCGACACTGGGAGGGTCCCCCCCGGAGGGTGCCCCCCATCCTGGGTACCAGGGGAGTTCCCCCTCCTGAGCATCACACAGGGGTTGAAATTTCTATAGCTAAAAACGCCGTGGAGGCCAACAAGCTCTCCAACAGCTCTAAGTTGAGTGGCTGTGGCAGGGGTGGGGGGACCCATGGGTGCCTCTGGATGGCTGTAATGGGGTTTCTTTTGCTTCCCTCCACCCCCCCAAAAAAATGAAATTTAAAAAAATCTCTTCAGTTTGGCTTCAAGAAATGGAAGAGCCACAGGATTCTAAATCATCACATCCTACAAAGTCCACCTCCGTTTTCCCTTTATGTTTCAATTCTCTTTCAGTGATCAAAAATGCCCATCAATCTCCATCAGCCAGTGAGTCCTTTCTTGTCTCTGGCTCTGCTCCTGATCCCAGGGCCTGTGGGGCCATTTCAGGGCCATCAAATCACCCACCTTCAAACAGCCTCTTTCTGCATCTGCAGCTTCTCTCGATGTTCCATTTAACATTTCTGATTTCTGAGAAGTTCATCTTATAACCTTTAAGAATATTAAAACTAGACCCTTTGATTATCACCCATTTCTTATGTCTGTATCAGTTAAAATATTAAATGTAAATTATATTTATATATGTATATATAATACAATATATATATTACCATGTACTTAATTTAATTATATATTTAATTGTATATATTAAAAATAATATTAAATATAAATATAATAAAAATTTTAAATAAACATACCTAAACTAAAGGTTTCATTCCATCTGTCTTTATCCACTGATTAACTAGGCTGGGGTTTTGGCCAACCACAGGACGAATGAGAAGCACAGCATGGTTTTACGTCTTCAGACTATTTGAACACCTGCATCCTTACAATAGTTTACTAATTTTTAATCTCTTAATTCAGAATCACATTGACCATTGATTTCTTATTTCTGTGAAGTCATTTATTTGTAATTAATCATTAAAAAAGAGAGATTTTCATCTGTTTCTTCACAGTCACGGAGTTCCACTCCAACCTCAATGTCATCCAGGGCTCCAGAGGTGGGTGGCCTTGGGGATAACCCTGTGCGGTGACAGTGCAGATTTGGGCCGTTGCAGGTGACAATGGTCCCACCTGGTGCCTCCCTCCCACAGGATCCACAGTGACATGTGGGAATGTCCTCTGCCCACTGCTCTTTGACTGGTGGCTCTCACTCCCCCACCTCCTTGCAGTTGCCGTGATATTTGTTGCCATTGTGGGGGCTCCTAAGGGTAAGTCCTGGATTTGGGACCCCCACAAAGGGCTGGGTGAGCCCAGAAAGGCTCCGATGGGTGCTGAGGCCCCCCAGATCTCTGCAGGGTGTCCCTGGAGGGGACATGTGTCCCCAGCAGAGCTGATGCTCATGACCCCCAGGGTGGCTCTGCTGGGGCCTGGCTGGGTGTTTCCTCCGGCCCCGTGGCAAAGTGATGCAGAACGTGGAGGTGATGGCATGCTCCGAGTGGGGACCCGCTGGGGGGTGAATCGAGGGGTTCTGTGCCACACCCTGACATGATTATCAATAAGAACCACTTCCCAGGCTGTGAAAGCCTTTAGGCAGGAAAGTTTAGAAGGCCCACAATTACCTTCTGCTAAGGACCACCAGGTGTCAGCAGAGAACACAGAATTAACTGATGTCTGACAGGCACAGCAGACAAGACAAATCCTGGTCCCCGCCTGCCCTGAACACGAGAGAGGGCCGTGAGGAGGTCAGACTGGCCCCTCTACGCTTTCAAACTTGCTGGGCTGTATCTCTGTGCAATCCACAGTCCCTGCAGATAAGGGCAGCCCTTTTTTTAGTCTCTCTGGCAAAGTGATTCTGGGGAGAAGCATTCACTTGGGAGAGCAGGATTTCTCCTTCGCAGCAAGCAGCATTTGCAGAGCAGCAGACAAACTGGCTGACACTTGCCGAGAGCTCTGAAGGCACACAACCCTCTAGAAATGCCCATCATTAGTCCTGCTGTTCTTGGTCCACAAAGCTTGTCTGTCTCCCACAAAAGCTACAACACAAAAGCAAATACCTTGCACACATCCTGTCTCCCTGGGAACTAACCCTACACTTGTCCTCCTTGACTTAACTGATGCCTTGAGCGCACAGAAAAATTTCAAGACCTAGCAACACCTGGTATGAAATGAAAACAAAGGTCAGATATCAAGTGCAACCCCTCCTGGGATGTACACCCAACAAGAACCCCTCTCTCATTATGGTCACAATGTGGGTAAGGGTGAAACAGCTGCTCTTGAGGAAAGAAGCAGTACAAGGAGCTCCTCCCCAGCACATCACTCCCAGAGACCTGCTTGGTACCTGGCAGGGCAGGGGCTGCTGCCAGCATGGGCTCCCTGCCTTCCCAAATTCCTCCCTTGACATTCCGGCTTGCCCCAGGTCTATGTACAGGTTTATCTGGCAACTTCACAGCAGCAGCAGTAAAATAAATTCATCTAGGCTGTCCAGCTGCGAGGGACAGCTGCTGGTGCTGGGCTGGGATGAGACTCAGGATGCTATTGAACAAATTTGGTCAGTTCCATCATCTTGCCCTGTTCAGGCTTAAGTAGAAAGGTCACATTTCTTGCCCAGGAGTCACCTGCTTAGCTATAATTATCACATAAACAGCATCTCAAGGGAGCCAGGAAAGGAGCTGGAGAATTTCCAGGACTAATCTCTTGCCCCTCCAGCCCACTGCTATTTGGCTGAGCGCTCTCTAAATCGAGTCTTGCTGCCCAGGAAGACTCAGCCTCAACCGTCACCTTTATATTCCAGCCCCTCTGTATTTTATCACTTGGGTACTGTCATCCTGCATCTCCATAGCTGAGAGAATGAATAGGAGCCCAGTGTTACACCTTTCTGGTATTTAACAAACTTCAGCTGTCAGCTGACAGTGAGATGGACCAAGCTCAAGCCACATCCTAAGGCAATTGCTGGTGGCCTTAAGAAGAGACTAGTGGATTAGTCGAATGTTTGACTGCAGTTGTATCCCACAGACTGGGCGTTCTGTTGAAGAACGGATGTGAAGAGGCCATCCTGGGCTGGAGCCTGAGCCAGGCTGTATGATTTTGAAACAGGGCACTTACTGCACCCCTTAAAAGAGCCTCTGCTTCCTGCCTTGGAAGCACTGTCAGACTCTACGGCTTTTACGTGGTCGAG